CTGCCTGCTGAAAGAAAAGGGGCAGAGCTTGATTATCGCAAAATATTTGGAAATGACTGGTTAGCAGCTGGTGGGAATTGGAACCCTGAGAAAAACAAACCAAGTGAAGAATTTCTTGCTGCCCATCCCAGATACCCATCGCTTTGTCTTAGTAAGTACAAGTGGAGTAAAACTAGCATTTCCTCACTTCTGGCCTTGTGGTAGCATGGGTTCGGTCTCTCTTCCCCTTGATGCTTTTTCCATGTGCTTCTGCTGCCTGAGGAAAGCCCACCCGCTTGCAGGCCTGTGTCTGAATGGCTTTTGCTGCTGTTGGGGCTGCCGCATAGTACTGCACCCTGCCGGGCACTGCTGCCTCAGGAACTTGGGCTCACTGCCTCAAGGATGACACCTGTTTTGGTTTTTTCAAATGGATATGTTAAGCAGCACCTCCATGTGCCTGTGCGCCATCCTAACTGCTCTAGCAGCTGAGAGGGGTTCACAGCTGCAGCACTGAGCCTTGCGGGAGCCCACCAATTTCTGTACTCAGTATCCTGGCTGCTGAGGGAACCAAGGCAGCAGGGTCATGCCTGATTCAACACCACAGTGCTCTTAGGGCTACTGTTGAGTGTTCGTCTTTGAGGGGTTCATGTCTAAATGCACTTTTCTTCACACAGAATATGGTGCACCTGAAGAAGGAGAACTGAAGGGACAACAGCCTTTGACCCTGAAAAATCAGCTTCTGAGTAAGAGGCCAGAAATGGTCAAAATTGTTCCTTCTGCATTTAAAATATTTTACAAGCTTAGTGTTTCCTAGGTATATATGGAGAACAAAAGGTTCAAAAGCCTTTGAGACATCTTTGAGACATCACAGAGTTTTAGCTTGTAATTCTGCTTCTCTGAACTGTGTGTATCAATGAGTTTGACTAGGTAAGAGTACACAGAAGCAGGTAGCTCATTTCCCCCTCAACCCAAGCCAAATGATTTTCTTAAGACTTTATGAAGAATAGAGGTAATCAGTACTCCATTCTGACAGCATGAATGGCTTCTCTACAGAAGACATTTGAGATTTTAACCTCAATAGCTGCTCTGTTTTCTGAAATTTCTTTTTTAATAGCTGCTTAACTTTCAGACAGTCAAGAAAAATATGGGTTGCTTTGGTATTTGAAGCTGTAATACTACATAGTTTAAACTAGGTTACATCCCAGACTTACAAATTCACTTAGCTTTGTTTCCCAGTTGATAGAAGTGAACCTTTTTTTACTCCATGGGCAAAATTCTAACGCATGCAAGTGGAAGACTAAATAGAACAAACAAGGAATCTAGTTGGCTAGATGTAATAGAAACCTTTTTTTAAGGATGAGTCTTTTAATCTCTGTAAAAGAATTAGGCTAATAACTTCCTTAAAATGTGCTTGTTACAGTGCTTTTGAAATACTAAGGTCAAAAACCCGCTTTAAACTGAGTAAGCATTCTACTTAGTTATTCATTCTACTGCAGGTGATTCTAAAAAGTTAACCAGACATTAAGCGTTTTTAGGTAAATATTCCTTTTGACCAAAAGAAACATGTTAAATATTAGGCAGTCACTTTTAAAATATTTTCCCTAATTCACCAAAGATGAATAAAAACTTGACTATTTTAATAACTTTTAATTTTTCAGAGAATGACTAAATGCTGTCTTAGCTGCTCAGGTTCTTTTTTTAGAAGATCAGGCTGAGCTAGGGAAACAATTTGTAATAAAAACAGACTAGAAAGACTCTGTGCTCCTGACAGAACAGGGTTTAATGTTCATTCACTAATGCCTCACTGTTCTTCCTTAAGCTTTGACGATTAAATGTCCTGAGAAACCTGAACAGAAGCCAGTAGAGAAAAAGCTACCAGGTAAGAAGTCTTGGCTTGTGTTTAAGCAGTTGATTTGTTGCTCCTTTTCAAATAACTGTATTAAAGAAGGGCAGCTGCCTCTGGCTTTGTCAGCTCCTGAAGACTCTGTCATATAAAGAAATGACAAAGGTAGAAATTGTTTGAAAAAGTCATTATTTTTCTGATCTTCATACTTACTTTCAGTCAAGCTTGAAGATTGAAAGTTGATGCTTGTCTTATGACCTTGGCTGCTGGTTTCATGATTAATATGTCTGAGGCAATCAAAGGCTAATTAACCACCATGAAATGTGGTGGGTGTGTGCTAACCAAATAACATGAACATTTAAGTTGTAAGAGCCAACTGCAGTCTGCAGTTCTAGGTATTGAGGTCTAGTGTCTAATACACTAAGTTAGAAATTTAATTCTGACCTGTATCAAATTTGTCTTTTAAAGTTTTAACAAAGTTAGACTTTGTTCTAAATCAAACTGATGTTCTGGAAAGAGGTGTCAGACTGAAGTCTGAGAAAAAAGACTTACTCAAGCTTTATTCTAAAATAAAAATCACATTTATTATCACAAGTTGCATAAAATCAGATAGATACAGCTTTTACAAAAATGTTTGATAGAAAAATATTGTCTAAGTACAATGTGTGGTATTACAGGAATAACTCACTATTGCTGTGCCTTTAGATAAAGCTTCAAAAGAAGTGAAAGTTCAACGAAAATACTGAGTGTATCTATTGCAAACACAGGTATCACCTCTGGAACAAACTACATTTACTCATTCGAGAACCATTACAAAAAATAATCTCTTCGTGTAACTGACTTCATAATATAAACCACTCTACAACTCTGCTGGCAATTTGTTTGGGACTAATTAATGTAATACCATTTCTAAGAATGGCACTAGTTCCACAGTGACATGCATTTATTTGTGCCGGGAAAGCCAATTCCTGGTAATGGAAAACTTCAAGGAACAGTCACCAGATGCAAGTAGTAAGAACCTGACTGGTATGTGTCCCAAAGGTCACTTAGTTTTTAGCATGTAGTAAATACAAACTCAAAAAAGGTAAATTATGAAGCCGTAACACTTCAATTTGGTATATGGGATCAAAGCGCTTAAACCGTAGTAGCATATCCTGTCCTGTCCACCAGAGATTAAACCATTCTCATTTTGATATCAGCAGCTACAGATTCAGGTACAAAAGACATTATTGCAGTGTTAGAACTGAAGCAGCACTACAGCCTTTCACTGTTGCTATAAGCAAGTATAGTTAAAACACTAGTACTTTGCTACAGCTCAGTGGTAGCAGCATTTTTCTAATAACTTTTCTTTCTTTCCCCTTGGCAGAGTCTATGACTATTCAGAGGGTCAAAGGATTGCTGTATCGCCTACTTAAAATTCCTGGTTCAGAACTGAAACTGTCCTATGAAAGTTCTAAAGTGAGTTAAAAATGGGTAATTCAGCAATAAAATACTGCATGCTGCTAAAGGTGAAGTGAAATTGATTTCACTTAAGGAGGGCAATCTTCATGCTGTAATTTAGGACCTAATTGCATTCCTGTAATATGACAGATCCTCCCTGACTGCACCTGCCTGATCTATATTTAGTTTGCATGAACAGATTTCAGTTTAAGTCTGATCAGGTTTTTTCCTCTCTTATTCCAGCTGGAAGGAAGAGAAGTTGAACTAGACAATGACTTAAAGCCTTTGCAGTTCTACTCAATAGAAAATGGAGACTGTGTGTTAGTACGGTGGTGAGAAGGGACTCTCGTGACAGACTGAAGGAGAAGCCAACACTGGAGCTGCAGAAGAGTTACGGACTGCTCGCTGACAGTGGGGACAGCCTGTGCGTGAACACACCTATGGGAGAACATGGATTTCATACATGGCACCAGAGGGCTACACAATACTACTTTCAGCTCCTAAACTTAATTGTCAGTCTCCATGAAAGCAGTTGCTTTTGGCTGAATTCTTCCTTGAGAGATACCAAACAGCGCTTAAATGCTTCAATTAAATAAAACTCAAGGTAACTCTTTTGCCAGGATTTTATACTACCTTCCCACTGCAGCGGTGAGAACTTGTTTTACTGAACTGAGTACATGACTCAGTTGTGATCTCGTCGCTTATAATAGGACAAAATTAGTGCAGCACTGAAAGAGGCTACATGCTCTTCTTGTTTCACCTACTTCCAAAGACCTTAAAGCAAACAAAAGTAAAACAGCAGTAATTGCAGAAGTATCTACACAGCCTTAGGAGACTACTTACGGTCAAAATCTGACAGACCTTTATTCTATCCTACAGCATTAACATACCACAGTATAAATAAGTTCTCAGCATACTGCAAGGCATTGCTATTCATTTTACATTCTTTAGTGTGCTGTTCCTCAATCTTAATTTACTTTCACTTCTGAACCCTCAGATTCACATCTAATAACTCATTGAGCTATCAGAAATCCCTCCTAATCAGGCTAAGTTTGCAGTACTTCAAGATTTGGTATAAGCAAACTTTGATATTGTTTTTATCTAAAATGACAATGGTATAAACAAACTAAACATAAATCCTAGCTTCTAGCTGTCCCAGCCCCTGCACGGATGAGGGCAACCCCTTGGCCAGGACAGAAGCTGCTGCAGCAAAACTTACCAGATGCCCTGGTGCTGAGCACAGCTCTCCACTGGATCCTGGTACAGCTCTATACTGAGTTAAATCAGTAGTACTTTAATTTACAAAAGACAGGCCAGTTGGCATTCTTATGTGCATTTATTAATTACAAGTAGGTCTTTGACTTTATATAAAAAGGAATTTTTTTATCTTAAACATTTTGGTTTTTGTCAGATCAACATCTATGCTATAGAAAATGAATGGTATCAGTCCACCTGTTATTATCAAAAGGGATGTGCAAATATTGTTATACTTTAGTTGAAACCCAACATTAGAAGATACCTTAATATTTCTTATTGTTCCAAGAATGAATCCAAATGTACGCTTTTCCATGATCACTATATGCTACCCTGTTTTCCAAGGCAAGTCCATCATCTTTCCTCACATCTGCAAGGATCTCCACACAGCTCCTTTAATCTCCAGAGCTCCCTCAGTTCCTGTGGAGAATACTGGGGGGAAGACAGCATGCCACTCTCGCATGTCTTCTCACACAACCAGAGACTATCCTGTTAGAGAGAGAGAGCGAGCACCATTTCAATAGTTTTTCTTACAAAGAATTTAGTATTCAACCATCTTTACTTCCAAGAATCAGGTTTTCATTGTTTCTAGCAACAAACTTTGCACACAAAGGTCACCAACTGGGGGTATATGTCCCTCTCAGATCTGCTAGGCCTATTCAGAGAACCTGGGGGGTGGGGATGGGGGCTGCTGGGGCAGGGAGGTTGGTTTGTGGCATTTTTGTTAAGATGTATTTAAAAGAAAAAAACCACAAGTTTTTTCTGGATTTTAATCCAATGGCTGTTTATTGTTTTTTTTTAAAGAAAAAAACATTTCCCTTATTTTATGCTACTTGAAGCAACAGGCATGTTCTCTTTGCATAAGATGAGAGAATTTCTTGAGACTTACTTGATATCGCTTGGGCCCTACAGCTGCCATCCAGATGCCCATACTCACATCTTCACCCTGAGACAACACAGTAAAATAAAAACCACAGATATTAGCACCAGGAAAGCATGAAGCATGACTTTGTGAACTAGAATAAGTTGCATCATGTACCAGCAGTAAAAAATGGTAACTACAAAAAAACTATGTCTGACTATTTTAGAGGTGTTAAATTAATCCTCCCAGCTTTCCTGTGATAATACGTTGTTCTTGAAAGAACAGAGCACAAAAACCAAGATTACAGCTCCAGAGGTTGTCAGTCCAAAACAGTTGTGCTTTGACCTAGAACAGACACTAAGCATAGCAACTGAAAGCACTCCAAAAGCCACCATTAACCAGGAGAACTCAACACTAACACTTGAGCAATGTTCCTTCCAACTCATCCAGTAGACATGCTGCTCCCCAGACCAGTTTAAGATAGAAAAACTGAACCAAGGCTTTACTACCTGGTACGTCTTTAATCTTTCAGAGTTGCTTGCCAGCCACTGAACAATGTCTTTGGAGATGACGTAGCCGGATCCACAAGCAAAGGCTGGATAGGCAGGACTTGGGTACTCCAGCTCTTGCCATTTCCCAGTTCGATCAACTGCCCAATTTAGTCTGAAACTGAAGACCATGTTAGACATGAGATGTTTACACAAAGCCCTCTGTGTAACCTGTGAACACTGCTAACAACTGTAGTAACTGATAACCAGAGGAAGAAGTAGAAGGTGATGCTAATTACAGTTCCTAGCCTTATTTCTCTAGGGCACACGTCTAATTGAACACAACAGCTGAAAGTCTAACTATTGTTTGGTCTCAATCTTGGGTAATAAGAGAAAGTTCTCAAAACAGAAACAAAGGCAACATTGACAGTCAGGTCTCAGCATATCTGCACCCGCTGCTGGCTTCTGATCCAGGTAAGCGCAAGCGTCCTTACCTATGTTCTGTAACAGGCATCTGTGTCCAACTCCCTTTGGTTAATCAACACGACAAAGTTGGTTCCTGCAGCAGGCATGCAGTTACAGTGATGTGACACAACTCGCTTTCCTGATAAAACTAGTGGCTGCTTAAAAAACAGGAAGCAAGGCAAAGTACTGTTTTTTTATATACCTTCTCCAAGCTATTTTCCAAATGAACCTCCACAAAGCTGATGTTCAACAAAGCCTGCCATCACGGAACTACAAAAACCTTCTGGCAGTCACCTTCTCTAGGGAAGACTGACTACTAGAGGCCTGCAGAAAGCCAGCAGTGCTCTGCCTGCGCAGTCTCTCCACACTGACTCCCATCCCGAGTTAAAGCGCGGCCCAGCACTATGGACCCTGTCAGACTGCTGTGTCAGGCAGTGAGAAATTTCCTGCTTTTCCTGCTCAGGAACAGGCTGGAGTTACACTCACCTTACAAGTACTTCGTGTGCTCACAGCTAAGTGGCACAACTAGGTCAATGCAGCAGGTTCTCCCCCTTTGTGTGAAGAGATTTAAGTGTTTCTGAATTCACTCAAGAGCTCAAGCAGCTAAAAGCTTTAGTGAGCTACTAAGAATTGTCACCTCGGACAACAGCTCCGTAAGGGAGGAATTACAGTTGAGTGGCAGGTCTGTTACCAGACTCTATGCATTCACAGCTGAAGCTGTTAAATGCATGTTAAAGCACCAAGTAGATAAAAGTCACATCTGGTACCTGAATTCCCTTTAGGCTCAGTATCTTCCACTTTATTGAGGAGTCACAGCAGGAAGGGTGCAATCCCCTCCACACTGAGGGGCACCTGCTTTGTCATGGTTTAACCCCAAGGGCAGCTGCTCGATCACCCTCCCCCACCCTCAGGGAACAGGGAAGAGATTTAAAGGGGAAAAGGGAAGGAGACTTGTGGGTTGAGATGGGAACAATTTAAAAATAATAATATCAAATTTAAAGTAATAATGATATATGAGAAAATACATATAACAATAATAATAATATATACAAACAAGTGATGCACAGGATCACTTGTCCCTAATGGCTCACCACCCAGTGACCAATGCCCACCCCGTTCCAGCAAGTGGTTCCAAACCAGTTAAGTCCCAACACTGCAATCCCGGGTGAGTGACAGGCCCGAAAAGAAACGAGCAGTCCAAGAGAACCCTCAGAAGAGAATTCCAGATTTCCTGGTCAATGCTTATCTATATGCTAGGCATGACGTTGCATGACACAGAATATTTCATTGGCCAATTTGGCCCTCAATCCTAAATCGAAGTTCAAATCACAAGGGAATTTGTGGGCCCTTTGTCCCAGCCATGTTCCCCCCAGCCTGTTGTGCTCCTGCGCACTGGCAAAACATGAGAATCTGAAAGGTCCTTGATGTCTCAGCACCAGCTATAAACATTGGTGTGCTATCAATATTCTCATAACAAATCCCATACCTAATCCAAAACACTGCACTGTTCTAGCTACTAAAAAGAAAAAAAACTCTCAGCCGAAACCAGGACAGCATTTTTTACTTCTGTAGTGATTTCAGTGTTGTTCTACTACACCTCACACTTGCATTACTTGAAGACTGTGACTATTAGAGAATTTACACTTGAAGATGTCACCCCTACATAAAGTTCTCCACAAAAGATTCTAGGATTTTATGACGATGACGTTTTGTCCAACTCTTCTCTCCCAGTACTTCTCCAAATCCCTTCTCCGCAAGTAACCTCATAAAATTACTCGATATCCTAACACACCATTTCTACAGCAAGACTCAGCAAAACTCATTTTTCAGTCTGCAGAAGAGAGCATTATTGATCCTCCTAAGTTCGTTCATGGCTATTCTAAGGCAAGCCTAGAAATACATTACTACAACATGAAGCATGTTACACTCAACAGCGTATCCTACACCCCAGGAAAAGGGGAACTTTTCCATACTACAAATGGAACATATCTTCATGGAAGACTTCAAGTATCTGAAGTTTCTTTTTGGCCTAATTAAGGTCAAGAAAAGGTGCTGTTGTAAACTCCCACTGCTTTCCATAGCACGGCAGATGAACCAACTTCAGTGAACTGCCTTTTTGCTTACAGCATTCATATTAGATTCAGTCTCCCTCAGAAGCAGCTTGGTACATTCGACCCCATCATAAATTTGGCCGTTTGCAGACATGATCGGTGATCTGTCAAAGACACCTCTCTCATGCCTGAGGGTGACTAATCTTTTGACTGCAG